ACTGCTGGTATCCCTTCCATCTCAAACCCTTGGAAGCCTTTGAATGTGATGGAAATATGGCCTCGTGGCCAAAACAGCAGTCTGGAGCCTGTGGCTGGCTGGTTTTATTTTTAGGATACCTCCATTAAGCCTCTTGCTTTTATGCTGAACCTCAGCTCCCATTGCAGGAAGGAGAGGCTGAGGCAGCTTCAGGGAGTAGCCAAAACCTGAGCTTTATGGAACCAAGACATAAGGCTCAGGCTCAGCACCTCCCAGTTACATGATCTATATGTAATTTGACCTAGCTTTTCCCATCTGTAATGTGGGAATAATAAACACCTACTTATTTCATTGCTTCACTCATCCAATAGACATTTGTTGAGTGCCTCTTAAGCACCAGGCAACATTCTAGATTTGAGTCCACAAGATGAGGCAAGTAGACACAGCTGCTGTCCACATGAAGCTTCTGTTCCATCACGAGAAAGAAAACGATGCACAAAGCCCTAGTACCATGTCTGGCGCTGAATATTTGTTTTTGTTTGGCTTTGGTTTTGCCTTTTTGTGGTTGCTGGGGACCCAACCCAGGGCCTGGCACATTTGAGGCCAGTGCCTAACTACTGAGGCCCAACCCCAGCCCCAATAAATGTTTTGAGTTCACCAGAAACTTAATTATCATCTATTAGTGATAGGTGCCTCTTAGATTTAGGGAGAATTTTTGTGCACAAGTCTCTGCAATGTAATCATGTTTTAAAAGATGGATTTGAAAACCCTTTATAATAAAAGATAAATGGCCAGCAAACACACAAAAGGATGCCCAGCATCACTAGTTACCAGGGAAACTGATGCTACTCAGTGTTGGCAAGAGTCGGGGGCAACTGGATCTGCTGATGAGGGTTCAGAATGGTGGAGCACTTGGAAAATGCTTTGGCAGTTTATTACCCAGACGGCATACTTGCCATCCACCTAGCAGCCTCGCTCCGGGGTATTTACCTAAGGGAGTTGAAAGCATGCATACATAGAAGGACTGGTACATGAATGCTCACAGCAGCATCCTTCATGATAGTCAAAAACTGGTAATGACCAGTAATTGACCAATGGATAAACAGAACATCTTCACACACACACACATAGAATGGGATACTGCTTAGCAATAGAAAGCAATGAACTACATGGTACCACATCAGTGAATTTCAGAAACATCCTGCTTCGTGAAAGAAGCCACACCCAAGAGGCTATCTATAGATATTGATTTCAGGTACAGGACACTCTGAAGTCAGATGGGTGGTTTTCTGGGATCAGGAGTAAGGGGAGAGGATTGACTGTAAATTGACATCAGGAAACTCTTTGGGATGATGGATATATCTGAGCATAGTGGTGACTACACAAATGTAAATAATTGCTAAAACTCTCTGGACATATATTTAAGATGGGTGACTCTTACATGCAAATGATGCCTCCATGAAGCTGTTACCGAAATTGAAAATATATAGATATAGGTGCATAGAAAACAACTATGCTTATCTTGTAGGATTTAAATGTTTTCAATTTTCTTTTCTGTACTTATCGAAATTCTGTAAAATTTCCACAATGATTATGCAATGCGTTTGTAAATAAATAAGTAAATAACCCCCACCAACAATAATTGGGTTATTCAACAAGGAATCTATTTTGACTCAACATTGTTTGCTTGTAAGGAAGCCCATTTGGGTCACCTCTTTCTCATCTATCTTTCCTTGGTGGCATTTCTGAGGGGTGAGCTGAGGAGACGGATGCAGAAAGGTACAGAGCTTAATAGCAATGCCTTGTCCACGCAGCCCTCGTTTTGGCTTTCTCCTTGATTTGGGGATGAATACACAGTAGGTTGGTGATGGGGGGCTCCGGTCGGTCCTCCTTTGCCAACTCCACCCTCCATTCCAACCCAAATCAACTCAAGTGTTCTCCAGGCCCCAAGAGAAGATCCACAGCCCAGGGCTGGGCAGACTGTGGTTTGTGGGGCTGGGGCGGGCCCCACCTGCAGCTCACACTGGTCAGCTGGGTGCCACGTGATCTTGGGGAAGTCAAGGGGCCATTCATCCGTGGAGACCCGCCATGAGAAGGACCACTCTTGTTACACTGTGGTACCACAGGACACAGAGTCCCTCCAAAAGCCCCTCTGGGGTGGGGGCACCGTGTCAACAGGCCTCTGGCCCTGTTCCCCCCCTCACATGCTCAGTTCATCCTTGAGCTTTCCTCCATGAATGGACAGTCGCCTCAGGAGACCCGACCAAGCCAAACGTGGAGAGTGGCACACACACACACGGCCTGCCCTTGAGTGCCTTGGTTATACAAGTCTCCTGACAGGGCCTACGTGTCGGGACACAGGAATCCAGTGAGAATTAAAAAGCTGTAATTATAAAAAGAGCTTCGTGAAAACATGCTGTGGGGGTCTGGGCTTGTAGCTCAGTGGTAGAGCGCTTGCCTAGCATGTGCGGGGCACTGGGTTCATTCTCAGCACCCCATATAAATAAATGAATAAAACCAACATCAACACCTAAAAAAAAATATTTTTAAAAATCCCACGGGCAGAACACACAAATTTTTAGCCACTCTAATCAAGAAGCAAAGCCCCATGGGAGCACAGAGCTGTTGGGAAGCTTCTCTCTGTCACACATAAATTCGAAGTTGAGAAAGATCTTGGGGGTCTCTGTCCTTAGGGTTCACACAGACACTATTTTTTAGGAAGTACTCTTTAGCTTTCTCTTAAAGCTCCATACATTCACCAAAGCCTAAAGGTGGAAACAGCCAGTGGCCATTGTTGGGTGAATGGACCCACAAAATGTAGAATATAGATTATGAAGCCTTAGGAAGGAAGGAAGGAAGGAAGGGTAGGAGGTGGCTCAGTGGTAGAGCACTTGCCTCGCATGAGTGAGGCCCTAGGTTCAATCCCCAGCGCTGCAAAATAAGAAGAAAAATTTAAAAAGAAGGAGGGAAATTCCAACACATGCTACAACATGGATGAACCTTAGAATAACATGTTGAGTGAAAGAAATCAGTCAAAAAAGGATCAATACTGGAGGAGTCCACTGGTATGAGGTACCTGGAATAATCAAATTCAGAGACAGTGGAATGGGGGTTTTTAGGGGCTGGAGGAGGGGGAGTGGGGAGTTGCTTCATGGGTACTGAGGAGGGAGGCTGAATTCTGGACATGGGGAGTGGTATAGTTATGTGGCAGCGGGGATGTACCTAAGGCTGCTGAACTGTACCCTTAAAAATGGCTAAACTGGCAAGATTCATGTTGTGTGTATTTCACCACATTCACAAAGAAACAAACCAGTTCCCCGTCCCTCACAAGGCCCCAGGGCTTCACCAAAGCGTCAGGTTGTGTCATCAGATCCAGTCTCTGGATGGGCAGCCTCTGATAGTTTTAAATAAAAAATACAACAAAATATATGGATTGTGAACGCTGTGTGCAGGAATTTTGTTTTCTTCTGCCGGCAGTCACCACCTCTCAAAACATGGCATCTTTAGGAGAAATAAAGCGAAGGGGCCATGGTGGGAAGGTTGGTTTTTGTGAGTGCCTTGGTTTCTGTCTCCCTCTTCCTCCCTCCCTCCCTCCCTCTCTCTCTCCCTCTCTCCTTCCATCTCTTCCTCTCTCCCTGTCTCTCTCATACACACTTCTGAGAGAGAAATACACATAATGGCTATGTTTTTGCACTGGAGGAGGCCATACTAAAGGAGGCACACCCTGGAGCAGTGTCTGCTCCAGACAGCCACAGGCACAGCCAGTTGGGGTTTGAGATGGCCCTTTGTTTAGTCTATTTTTAGAGCCTGGCGTCAGAATTCTTCACATAAACAGCCACCAACTCCCAGGTGTATGCGTTTCAGGGCACAGATATGGCACAAAAAGTGAAGATCATGCAAGGCACCAGCTAAGGCCACTGAGGGGCAAGACCCCCTTCCATCATTCCTAGACTTTTGGAACGGGACAGGGTCATAAGGAATCTCAGCAGCTTGCTCAACACATGGCTCATAGATCTTATACACAGAACAAGTCAGGCCGGAAATTACAAGAGCAAACACAATAGATTCATTTCCCCAGCCCAAGATCTTGGGCACCAGGATTCTACTCCGTGGGCTTTCTGTTTCACTATTAGACAGAAAGTCTTTGGGGGAATTTCCAGCTCTCCTTCCTGCCATGCCCATGACCTTCCCTGAAAGGCAGGAGGCTGTATAGGAAGAACAGTCAGAAGATGTGTCCTCACACAAACCCCGCTCCTTGGCCCTTAAGAGCTCACTTTTAAAATGTCCATACCAGTATCGCCAACCTTGTTTGTGTGAATGAAATAACACAGTCAGTGTTTGGGGACCTGTTTAGACAACTACTTGGCATTTTCTTCTGTCCCTGTTCCCAGTGCTTAGAATGGAATAAACAGGGTTAAGTCATTGTGTGTTGATTAAGGAAATAATCAGAGCCTCAGAGCCCTGACCTTGGGAAATGTTTCCTTTCCTTTCACTCAGTTTCTAGCAAAAGCAGCAATGGATTGAGGGGGGGAAATGTCCGGTCAACTGCAGATTTTTTGCAGGTGCGCCTGAGGCAACCCAGTTCCTCCCACCTGCTAAAGAGAAGCTGCACTCTTCAGGTGGCACAAGCCACTGATTGAGAGCTGAAGAGAACAGAGGATCTCTTGGTTCCCACTGTTTGAGGTACATGAGTCATCCATGTGGGGAGGGGTTCAGGAGTCCCCCAGGAGAGCTCAGCTGCAGTCAGCTGGCCAGCGTCTATATCCCAGGATGAGTGAGGAAAGGCCTCCGTGCTTCACACTTGCAGCCTCCACATGGGTTTCCAAAGGTGGACAGCAGGAACAGTGCTCTCCCTTCCCCTTTGTCCAGTAGTAAATAAACACACCTCCACCTGGCTTCCCAGCCCCTGCACTGGGACTGCCGGGCTCTGGGAGATGGGGGTGGGAGATGGACTCTTCCTCCCTTCTCTAGGCTCAGGTCTAAAATGCCCTGTAACAAGCAGGCTCCCCAGGGCGACATCCTGAAAGAGAATGGCCCTGGACACTTCCTGGAACAAGACAAAACAACGCATTGGAGCTGGCAGGTGAGGCACACCATGGTCTCCCAGCAAAAGGTCCAAAGAAGCAGCCTGAGCAACAGAACATACAGACTGAACGACAGGGTTCTGAGCATCAAAGCTCTGCTGGCTTGCTTCCTGTCTCTTCCCAGCTGCCTAGTTGGTTAGGATTTTCAGTTTCCCTGTGCTTCCCTTATGGGGTCCTTTTGGAGACAGCTGAAGGCAAAAAAACCATTCAGGCACTGGAGCCTGGCAGGTCCAAGTGAGATTTCCAGCTGAGCGATCTTGGGCTAGACACCTCTACTCTCTGGGCCTCTGTTTCTGCATCTGTTGAAGACAAGGTGCTTAAGAAAGCCCATTTCCAAAGCGTTGTGGGAATTCAATGAGATGATGGTTGTCAAATCTACCCCATAGGGAGCGTTTGGGGAGAGGAGGTTTCTTCCTCTCCCTGCCATCTGAAGGGAGAGGACATCAAGAGCAGCGAGCAGCCTGTTGCCTTGTTTTTGAGAAGGCATTTTGGCATCCTCTTCAAACTCCGCCCCAAGCTGCCAAGTAAGTGTCCAGGTATCGCAGGTGCAGTTGGGGCCACAGGCAGGGAGGGGCCTGCCCTTTCTGGACCACCTCAGATGTTCCATGCTGGTACGGTGAGGGGCAGGTGGGAGCAGCCAGGCCCCTCCTCGGGTAAGCCCTGGTGGGCGACCCGCCCGTTCCGCAGCGGTGGGCGGCCAGGCCTGGGGGCCCCACTGCTGGCGCCCGACTCCGACGGCAGGCCCGAGTCGCTGGGCTGCACCTCCATCAAGACCCTCCTGCGCAGGAGCCAGCCGGGCCGCTCCGAATAGGTGCCGTGGTGGCGGCCCCACTGCAGAGGGCAGAGCCGGGCGCGGAAGGCGGCCTGGAAGCCGCGGCGGAAGTTCTCGTTGAAGTAGCCGTAGATGATGGGGTTGGCGCTGCTGTGGAAGAAGGCCAGCCAGTGCGCGAAGGGGAAGGCGTAGACCGACAGCAGGTGCAGCTGCGGCTCGCTCAGCTGCCCGTAGTCGATGAGCAGCAGCAGCGCCCAGAGCGGCAGCCAGGACAGCGTGAAGAACAGCGCCACCATGACCAGCATGTGCACCACCCGGGCCTTGCGCCGCGACGCGCGCCCGCTCTCGGCCGCCACCTCCGCGTTGTCGCGGGCCGGGCCCGACGCCTTGCAGAGCTTGCGGGCGATGCGCGCGTACATGACCACGATGAGCGCCAGCGGCGCCAGGTAGATGTGCGCGAAGAGCACCGCGGTGTAGACCTTGCGCATGCCCTTCTCGGGCCAGGCCTCCCAGCACGAGTAGAGCGGGTAGGAGCGGTTGCGGGCGTCCACCATGAAGTGGTGCTCCTCGCGCGTGACGGTCAGCGTGACGGCCGAGGGACACATGATGAGCAACGCCAGAGCCCAGATGACCACGATGGTCACCAGCGCCTTCCGCAGGGTCAGCTTCTCGCGGAAAGGATGCACGATGCAGCGGAACCTGTGGCGGGAGTGGGGGGAGAGAGGCAGGGATCTGGGAGGGGGGGGGGCCCTGGCACCTAAGGCAGCTCAGACAACAGCCCAGACGTTAATCAGGTGAGTTTGCAAGCAAATTGGCTTCTCACCTGGGAGGGAGGCTGCCCGGGAAACAAAGGCAGCGTCAAGATTTACGGAGTGCGGGGAGGAGGGAACCGCAGCCTGGGAACAATGAATTAAACCTTCCCTGCGCTTCTGGGGTACACTGATTCGATGGCAGCCCGCAGAGCCATCAATCTGAGGTGCACATCCTGCCCTGGAGAAGGCTCACTGGGGGTATCAACAAATACAATTTTTAGCTGTTATGGATTTCCCAGAAAACCCTGGGAGGTCAGATGTGGAGCCTGTGTGGCAGACTGTCCCTCTGTCATCTCAGCCAGTGCCCCTTCATCACTGCCTTCACCACACGAGGGCAAGTCTGCACCATTTATTTCCTCATTAGACTCTTTCTGCAGCAATTGTTAATACACCCTTAATTTATAGATAGGGAAACTGAGAGGGATCAAGCAACTGGCTCAGGGTCACACAGCCAGCAAGTACTGGTGACCACCTTTGAACCCAATTTGTCTTGCTTCACTAGGCCACATCACCAGTAGCTGTAGGCCCTTGTTGTGAGTTAGAATTTCCTGAAGCATTTAAAAGGTATGCACTGAATCCCACACCCCAAACTCAATTTCTCTAGTCAAAGATCCCAATGTAATTAGTCTGGGAAGCTGGAAGGGGTTTTAGCTTGCTTTGTTTGTTTGTTTGTTTGTTTTGTTTTGCTTGGAGGCTCCTGGACGTTCCAGTTTGCAGCCAGGGTTGAGATCTGCTGCCGGAGGTGGAAGAGGTGCCAATGTGTCCTCCATAGGGTGGTTCATCCCAGGACTTCTAGAGTGTGTTCAGATAAATGCATGGAACTACCCAAAGGGCCAACTACTGAAAAATCTTTCTGGGCCTCAGTTTCTTTCTCTGCTAAATGGGGTCCTACTCCGGAAGGCTGTTGTGAAGCTGAAGTGAGGTCACCACCCTTCTGGAGACATTCTGAATGCCTAATAGTGAGAGAAAGGAGGGGCTCCAACTTCTCAGGAAGTCTTCCAAGGGCAGAAAACAGACTCCGAGGAATGTCCAGCTTGCCTCTTTCATGGAGGGGAACCTGGTCCAGATAGGGGAAGAGACTTTCTCAGAAGGTCCCTGGCTCCTTGGGGACAGAGCCTGAGCTTGAATACAGGGTGGAGCCGATTTCCAGCCAAGTACCCTTTCCACTTCACTCACCTGTATCCTGTCCTGCTGCCTATCCCTCTGTCCCAGTCTCAGCACCTTTGTCCTCTCCCATGGCCTGACTCAGCCTGGGTGACCTTGACCCACTGGCTTTTCAGTATCATATCCCAAAACTCTCCAGAGAACAAAGGATTCTTAAAGCATACACTTAAGAGGTGGAGGAGAATCCTGGGGTAAAAATCCAGGAAGGCTTCCTGAAGGAGGTGTCACTTGAAGAATATTGCAAACACCACTGGGAGACATTGCACATACTCATATCAATAAAGGCTGGTGGAGTGGAGGGACTTCCCACATTCACCCAACTAGTTAGTGGCTTTGTGGAAAGAGGAACCATCTCCATCACACTAGCTACCTACTTTTTTTTTTTGAACTGTGGATTGAACCCAGTGGTGTTTAACCACTGAGCCACACCCCCAGCCTCCCAAGCTGCTGGGATTACAGGCGTGTGCCACTGCACCCGGCCCAGCTGCCTACTTGACTGGGTTATAAAAAGTAGGTTGAGGCCGGGGTTGTGGCTCAGTGATAGAGCACTTGCCTAGCACGCATGAGGCACTGGGTTCAATTCCCGGCACCATATAAACATAAACAAATAAAATAAAGGTTTTGTGGGAAGAGAAAAGTAGGCTTGGTGGTGGTGGGGGGGGAAATAGGAAAAAAGATGAGATCACTCGAGTCTAGAAAGGGAGGCCTGAGTATTAGCACTGAGGAGAGGACGAAGAGGAGTGTGAGGGTGCCCTGAAGAAGCAATGGTCACAGCTGACCTTTGGACCTTGAGCCGGGAACTGTGCCTAAGGTTTTCAGGAAGGAAAGCTTAGTTGTCTGAAAATGGTGGTTGCCATGGTACGGATGAGCCTCCATTGTACGGATGAGGCTCAGGATAGCTGAGTGGCCCACCCAACATCACACAGCGAGGCACTAATGAGCGTAAAAACTACCTCCAGCTCATCTGCTTGCCATATTCCCTGGGGGAACGCACCCCAGGAGCGCTCAGAGCACCGAGATGCTGGGCAGGAGGACAAGCGCCCTGGAATAGGGAGACTTAGGGCTCAGACGGGTTCCATTGCACGCCTCCAGCCACATTCACAGAACCACGCTT